TGTGTGGGTAGGTATTGGTTATGTGTGGGTATATAGGTACATGTACTGGTTGTGTGTGGGTAGGTACTGTTGTGTGTGGGTAAGTACTGGTTGTGTCTAGGTAGGTACTGGTAAATGATTATGTTTGATGATAATGTACCTTCTTTCATTGTTTAGTGATGATGAAGATGACACTGCTGAACTCTTGGCTGAATTGCAAAGAATCAAAAAGGAAAGAGCTCAAGAAGAAATGAGAAAGGTAATTTACTTACATGGACAATTTCTAAACCACATTTCACTGTCTTCAAAAAATAAACAAGGATAATGTAATGTTTCAATCCTTGTTACATCATCATTCTATTCTTACTACAAGTATTTTCGATAAAGAACACTACCCTTTTAAATAATTATGTTAAAGACGTGAATAAATACTAGATTCTGCAAATGACAAATTAATCTTCATGTTTCGATTGGACTTTCGGCGGCTTTGTCTGAAATTCCAAGTCTAGGCGGGAACTATGCTCAAAACTCTGGCAATTTGAATTACTCTTAACTTAAAACTAAAGATTTTTGAGCTCATTGCCAACGATGTGGTTGGGAAGTGGATGCTTTTGTGAGATATTTCACAATCATTTATGATAGCAGGTTCAAACCCTAATATTGTTACTGATTTTTTTTGGAATATCAAAGTAGTTGACTCGAGATTTGAAAATTAAACAATCATGAAGTCTTGAAATCTACATTTTACTTCTTCGAATTACTGGTCATGCGTGACATGAATTAGCTGTAAATACTACCACTTTGATTCATTCCATTAAATTTTTGTAACTGATGATGCAAATGTTGTCTAAACATGTCTTTAACAAAATTGAAAATTGTATTGGTTTTTTTAAAAATCAAACTTAGTCTTTAGAGTATTCTGTTTCACCAGCGGTAGCACATGTTGACATGACTCACACACATTATATTTCAGGAAAAAGAAAAGAAAGAAGAAGAGGAAAGAGTCCGCATGGAAAACATAATGTCTGGAAACCCATTATTAAATCCTCAGAATAATTTTAGTGTCAAGAGAAGGTTAGTTTTGTGAAACATAGGTTCTTACTTTACCACTGTTGTCCTTGGTACTTGTCATTGGTACGTCAATCAAATAAATTATTCATTACCTTTACACACTCTGATTGACTGCAGGGTATTGCCCGATTTAGTTTCGGGACTGTTGTCTTGATCATCACATAGAAATGAAAACAGTGGTTGAAGAATCCTAGTCAACTACGATGCACAGCTGCGCCCCTGTGTTATTGCTTAAATTGTTCACCTACATCATTCTCAAAGCTCTTCCATACGCCAATGGAGTAAAATTTCTGTAAATTCACTATACCAGTGTTCTCAAATTCCCAAAGTTTCCTTCCTTTCATTCCACAGTAAGAAGGTTGAACTTTTCAGAGTGATTCTCTTTGTGAAATAATAATTTTCTGGTCGTCCAACTATAAGACATCACAACTTTCAAAATCTACCTTAGATTTGTTGCCAAAATTTCTCAAATCTTGCAGAAAGCTTTAAAAGTGACTATGTGCATGTACCATTATATCAAGATTGTCATAACACATTTGGCAGGAATAACAAGACCAATTATGTATTTAACTGGATTTCCAAGTTGCACCTAAAAAAACTGCCAATTTGCCTGGCAGAGAAAATGGCACTTTACTTAGCATTCATTGTTTCCAGCGCATTATAGTTGACTAGTATTCTTTAATATAACATGATGAAAATTACAACACATAAAGCAATAATTCAACAAATCACATGATCAAGATATTTTTCATTGCTATGGGATATGCCCTCATATGGTATAACTACATGGTGCTGTTAATACTAAGTAACATTGTTATTTTTCAGATGGGATGATGATGTAGTATTCAAAAACTGTGCTAAAGGTGAAGATTCTAAGGTAAGCTGCCCGGGGATGAGGATGATGATGATGATGATGATGATTAAATTACTATTAATTGGTTGTTTTGGCATAGCTTTTGCCATTGCTTGAATGTAACCAAGTCATTTTCTTATTATTTGTAGGGTCAACACTTTATCAACGATATGCTAAGATCAGAATTTCACAAGAAATTTATGGAGAAATATGTCAAATAATGAAAACCATAATATGATCATAACAATATACATAATGTACCATATATAGTCTGTAGCTTTCTCAGTTCAGTAATAAATACAGTCATCAGTCAAGGGTGGATCTAGAGAGGTTGCCTAAGCGGTTGTTCCCCTTCACCTATCAATTGTTTACTGGTATTTAATAATTCCAAAAATTTAGATAGGAAATGTCAATCTATGGTTACGAACCATGAAACCATCTTGTTTAAAGGATCCCTGGATTCACCCTTCTCAACTTGCTCAGCTTATTTTAGTGTTGAGACTACTGTACACTTAGCTACTAGCATTTAGTTACTGGTGTAGAAAGACTTTTTGTATGTAGAAATGGTAACTATTTTAAATGTAGGTACTTTGTTTATTGCTGGATGTATTGTGAAGTCTCTACTGTAAATATTCCTGCAACAGATGTTCAAGATTTTGGATTAAATTTTTTTCCTTTGACAAATGTCATTTTCAACCGACCTATCAGAAACTGTTATTAAACTTATCGGCAATGATAAGGAAAGCTTTGGCGGCAAGGAGGCAACCATGGTAACCAACCACATTCCACCACCTGACAAATTGTGACTTACTATTCAGTGAGAAATTATAATATATACTCGCCTCTATACCAATCTCATACCCAGAGCCCTTATATCTTACTGCACAGTTAGGAAATATGGGCTCTGGGTACGAGATTGCCTCTACACTTACCAGGAGAGCAGGGTGGGATCAACCGGATTGCCTCTACAGCACGTACAGGCTGCTAGCACTGATATGTCCTTAATGTGACAACTACACCTAAGAAGGTGCAGATTCATGTCTAGGTAACTTGCACAAATACAAATTGACTTCATTCAAAATTGGTTTACTTGATTTACTTGCTCTGGAATATAGTTTCCATCATTTTCGTGCAGACACAATACATCTTCTCCATTTTTTCAGCTAACCCCATTTTAAAAATCCAGCCCTGATCTGCCCCTTTTAACCAGCTGTGTTGACAGGGTTTCTTGAAAGGAAATATGGGTCAAGACAAGTATATTTGTATTTTTGGTTTATAACATTCATAAGCATGGACTTTGATTGAAATCGAATTTTGCCATGAGTTTGATTAGTGTTTATGATCAATATTTCAAGAGTAAAGAATTCATATTCCATGGGTCCTCTTAGCAGAATCATGGGAAATGCTAATCAAAAATACAATGTATAATCCTCAATTGTGATTGGTTGACCTTGAGGTTTATCTGAAAGAGGAAATCTCTTCCTACATAAGATAACATCACACATTTATGCGGCCATTTTAATAGAATATTTACATCATGGTTTAAATTACCCCAATCTGTTGCCAAAAAAACAAACAAAATTGTGTCAAACATTTTTGTAGTTGCCAGAGCCAACAGTAAAATTAATATTTATGCACATTTAAACCAATGTCAACATTTCATATTTCATACATATTTACTGCAGCAGCATAATTAGAATCTCAATATGGATATTGTGGTTTTCAGGCGTAGATCAAGAATGTTTTTACATAGGAATGATCATTCATGATTAGAACATTCACAAACTCAAGCACTGGTAACACTGCAGTAAATATCTGTCACATCCCATCCCAGAAAATATTAGGAATCATCAATATATAAAACAGTTTTCAGTTTTAGATACTCTGATCTAAACATGAGAGATGCCGAGAGAACAAGAGAGGAGCATTGAACATCCCAAGTGTTTCACAATTATATCATGAAGTTCTAAAAGCTGGGTAGAGCATGGATGTACCTGGCTATGATGAGCTAAGAACCTGTTTTCAGCTCAACATGATCTGACCAGATCATTTTATCTCAGTACATACAGCCATTACCCAATGGTAGCACAAGGTTAACTAGCGAGAGAGGTATTTCCTGGAACATCCCTGAAACCACTTCTAGACTTACTCAAATGCTCTTGATAAACATTCATTAAGTAGCATAAATATAATTATATGTATAAACACAACTGATTGGTTGGCTGCAATTAATATAGCTGAGCCTGGCATGATATCTTGCAGAATTTGGTTGAAAAGGTACATATGAAACCATATACAACAATCGACTACTGAAAGGATGCACCTAAAAAACTGCTAAAGAATGTCAGTCACACTGACCAAATTTGTTATCAGAGGCTCTGTTGCTCCAGTGCTTTTAAGTGTGGGGTTTGTTGTCTCCTGTACAGACCCTAGACTTGCACTATTTGGTACTAGAGCTAGATGGCCCATGGCATGCAATGGAACAAGTTTCTCAATTTTACAGAAACAAAGCAATTTGAAATTTATCTGTCAGGAGTATGATCAAATCTAGCTTCCTACTGATTGGCTAATTAAAGTCATAATGCTTTGTTTTGATTGGCTGATTATTACATAATAGTAACCCATTGCAACCATGGTTCCAGTGGTCATGTAACAGGACAAGGGAACAGGCCCTTTGCAGTTAACGGTCATGTGTCTGTACTGGACTGCAAAATTTTTGTTTTTATATTAAATTGGTGATTCTTTTTGGCTACTTGTAAAGAACTGAATGAAAACATGTGTATCCAGTGTGATACGAAGTGCAGTTTTATTACGATCTCTCGAAACTGGTTGTAGAAAGTTTGTTTGCAGTCCAGTAAATTTCACCCATGGGAATCAAAATGTTCATTCATTTGCTCTCAGTGAATTAATCAGCACGTGATTGCTTAGCTGCAAAGGACCTATTGCATGATTGAACTTTACAGTGATTAAGTCTATTCTTATACCCCAATTACATCAATAATCACATTGAAACCATTGCTACAATAAATACTTCTTACAACTAATACAACCACAAATACTAGGAACTGTTTCTTTTTTCCAATGTTGTGCACAACAAACATGAAGAGTACTATTTATGAACTCCTTCTAAAGTTCAAAGGAGGCAGGCAATTCAATGCACCACAGTGACTTGAGTCATGTGGCATGCTCATTAAGTTGATAAGTTGCTTTTGTGATTATACCTTCCCTTGAACTTCAAAACGACATAAAACATACATTGAATTGAAATATAGTGACCAATTTGAATAAGTATCGTTCTGCACTGACAAGCTACTGACTAGCCTCTCATACATCTAAAAATGCTTTTACATTTCCACATGAACATGAGTTCAGTCAGTCACTAGTCAGTCACTAGTCAGTCACTAGTCAGTCACTAGTCAGTCACTATCAGTAACTAGTCAAATAAATATTCAAATTGTTTGCCACATATATGGTTGGCTGTATACTAATGGCTCTTTCTTGGTGTTGCAAGGCACTTGGGCCATGAAGACAATAAAACAATAGCCAAGAACAAGGAGCTTGGAGCTAAACAATACCCTGAAATAAAATAACCCTAACCCAGAATACATCCTGCAACATCAAGTAAGACCCATACTAATGACAGTTCAAGAGAGAGAAGTGCTGCTATACAATGAAATCTAACCTGCTATTATGGTACTATGGAGCTAATTTATTAATTTAATTAATTACTCTATAATTTCCTTTCCAAGGAATGGTCTGTACAAGAATAAATTCTGTTTCTTTTTTTAGAAAAATACTCCTAAAACCAAAAGAAAAACCATATCAATATTATGAATTATGAACAGGAATTTGTAAAAGGAAACTGCTGGGTCAAAAAGTGGCAGAAAGGGAATCAAGAGTGGAATAGCAGTAGTGCACTCCCCTCTCACCTCTGGGGTCTCAGGTTCGATTCCCAGACTCTGTATCACATGTGATTAGGATTTATTAGGTCTCTCCCTTGATTTGAGAGTTTTTCCCTGGGGTCTCATTTGATGGATGTTCACCAAAACCTAAAACATACTGCACCTGGATTGTCTAGGGGTGTAGAAAACATGCTAGTGCAAAATGTAACTTATAACTGATAATACTGACAGACATACTTACATTTTTGCTTATATCATCTAAAAACTCATTCTCTAACAGGAGCAAATGTGAAGCAAGGCTGGCTTGTCGCTATAGATACAGGAGTGTCCGTATGTGTGTGCGAAATTGCTGGTCCTGCCAGCGGTGATCTTGGTGGTGTAAATCGTGACCTATAACTAGGGAAACCTATTCTTTGTGTATCGCTGAATAACATGGGCGGTGTTGATGGTATAGATGACGATGCTGTTGACGACGTGGTATTTGTGTTATGAGATATACTGTGGTCTAAATGTATATAATTTTCTTCATCAAAATTAAGATGCGATGTTTCACATGGTCCTTCTGGAGATGTACTTTGCGATGGCCCATCACAGATTCTCTTTGAGGGGCTAACTCCAAGATCACAGCCATGTGAAGGACATTTTCTTTTGAGGTACGACATAGTGGGCGACAAAATACTTGGTCTTAGGCAAACAGGACTAAGACTTCTTCTCCTGAAACGGTGACAACCCATCCATGTTAAAAACTAAACAACTTTTAAATACCTGTATTATTGAGCACAATTAATTAAAGAAAATGCTGGCATGGTCATGGTCTTAAGAAACATGGCTCCATAAAAATTACAGCAAGTAGTTTATTCTTCAAAATTTTAATTAGTTTGGCCATCATGCTAAGAAATAGAAGACTTCTTCTAATATATCATATAAGCTCTTGACTGGCAGCAGTAAAAAAACAATTTCACAACAAGCTGTGAGTTTGCAGAATATTGAAAACTGCAGTAATAACATTCTCTTTTCTCATTAAAAAGAACAACAAAAAGTGTAAACTTACACAGTAACTGTTCGTGTGGGACTTGGTATAGGACTTGGTGTTAAACTTCTAGCATTTCGAACTGGAATTTGCTGAAAAACAACCATGAATGATTACATTATGTTTTTTTTTAATAATGACTTTCAAACTATAAATTCCTACTTTTTTAGTTACTCCATAGCAATAGAGTGAACTCATTAAACCCATGCAATAGATATTAGACTAATACACTTCAGTAGACCCTAATTCTATTCAGTTTTCTTTTGTGTCTATTTGACTATTACACGTTGACTAGTATTTTTTATTTCCCAGGTTAAATGCCTCCATTCTACAAAGTAATACAAAGCAGAAGTATCATAAAATATGTACTATATACCCTTACAAATCTTGTAGGTGATGGAGAAGATGGTGCAGGTGACGGGAACATGTCTGCGTTGCCATCAAATGAATTTCGTCTTTCTTGCATGGGTGTATCTTGATTTTGCTTATCATGGTCCTCAATAAATGAATAATAAACGGATAATAATTTAGTAAAACGTGGTGTGCATAAGCCACTTAACTGTGTTTGGTGCCTTCACCAACTCTCACAATATGAAAAAAATAATAATATGGCTATAATATGACAGCAAGTAAACCCGGAAAGCCAAAGACCATACCAAAGATCACAATTAACATGAAAAAAAGGTGTAAGACATTGCTATGACAACATCAGAATCCTGGTTATTGCATCAAAAATGTTCATTTAAAAAATCATAACTCAGGAACCAAATGGCGAAATGTTTTAAACCTAGGGAATATTTAGACCTATAGTAATCTTTTATTTGATGAAAAAAGAAATAAATCTGTAAGAGGGGATTCGTAAAAATCAATGAAATTTGTTTGGAATAGTTCCCTCTAACAAAATTTTGAAAATTTTTCCTTAAAGTTTTTGAAAACATAAACCAAAGCCATTATGCAAAATTTGAAGAAATTTCAAAGCAGAGTTTTTGAGTTTTTTTCAGTTTGAATACTAAAATTTTTGAGGAAAAAATTTTCCTTTTGCAAGTTCAATTGCAATGCCTATAACATCAGACCTTAATTATTGAGCTTACCAGATTCATACTTTCATCTAAATCATGAACCAAATGTAAATTAGAAAGAATTTCACTGAAAAATAAAAATACAAAAATCATGAAAAATGAAATTATTAATCATTGGATGAGGTCGTAGACCATAGGCAAGATATAGTGAGTAAAATGTATATAAAAAAATTTCTGTCAATAAATTTCCATGCAAAAAAAAAGCTTTAAACTAAATGCTGTGCCTCATTTATGAAATAAATTAACCATTAAAAATTAGTGACAGTTCATCTTTAATGATTTTCAAAAGTCAGCTTAAGACTTACCTTGTTTAATCTTCTTTATACATATTTTATATCCATTTATGTATTTATTAATATTTTTCTTTCTATCAAAAATTATTATTGCTTAGTTTGTATATTATATTTAAATATTGAATTACATATTTTCATATTTGAATCTTTTAATAATTATTATTCTTTATCATTTAAATCTGCAAAGAACATGCCTGACATGAGGCCGTATCAGCACTTCTCATCTGCTCACACTGGGTACGATAGGGTTTAGAAGGAGTTTAAGCATGTATTTGCAGAATAAATGATAAACAACTCATCAGTAGGCTAAGCATCTGATATGGTTTTTTTTTTTTACTCGTTACTTGCACTTGCCTAAAGGCTCACCAAAATACTCATTGACTTGTAAAAATACACAGCCGTATGATATGCTTAGCTGACTGATAACCTCTATTTATTATATGACCGTGAATCTTAGAGCCTGGACACTAGCAAATCGAGCAATCTGATTGGATAGATCGCATCGCGGACTGGTCTAGATTCTCCGGTATTAACCAGTCCGATCGCATATCAATCTTACAGCGAAAACATTCCGCCTTTTCAATGAAAAGTGGTCATGTAATAAAACTCTTATCAACTGAGCTTGGTCGGTCTGTACGGGGTAATCTTGACCTCGAACGGGTACAGACCTCGCTGCACTCGTTCTGTACATTCCGACCTCGGTCAAGATTATCCCGTACAGACCTCCCACTCGGTTAATAAGATCTAAATGTAAAGCACTAGCCTAAGGTCAAATGGTGGAGTTTGGTGCTATATAGATAATAAATATCCAATAATTTATATTTGAAAAGCAAATTATACTTGAAAGTATATATAATTATTTACACTTAAATCAAGGCTATCATTTATTATTATATCAAGCATATCATTTTTCATTATAAAAGACATAGCAAGTAAAAGAAATAAATAAATGATAGAAATACTATTATTGAAGTCAGGATTCATTTCAAATTAATAATAATAATAAT